ATATATATGTTGTAGGTGGATTCGGAATTCTATAGATTCCGAATCCACTTAAGTGGGGTTCGGATCTCAAAAAGACTTAGATGGTAACGGAATTTCATACGAATTGATTAATCAATGATTATGACGATGATGTATTATATAGTATTTAAAGCGATTTTAAATTATGAATAAAATAATTTTTAAATTTTTTTCAATCAAAATGTCAAACGAAGAATATCCATTTATTTCGAAACTAGCTTTTAATGACTTGATTAATAAATACCTTGAAGGAAAATCGCTATATAGACGCCGTAAAACATTTATTTCACAAACTGATTATGATCTTATTATTTCGGTTCTTCATGAACCTAATAACAAAAATTTGGGGACTTCCAAAGATCGTCATTGGATTAAAAGTACTTTTCAACTTAGAGAATTGGGAACCGAAAACAATCCAAATACACAAATTATTACAGTTGCAAAGAATGAAAATGGATCAGAATTAATACGTACAATATGCCCTTTCAACCGTCTCTATGATATATTATGTAAAATTCATATGGGTATTTTAAAACACGTTGGATCATCTAAAATGTGGGATGTAGTAAGTAAATCTATTAACAATTATCATTATGAAATATTTTAATTTTAATACTGATACGAATCTGTTTAGATTAGAAAACAATATGATTATATTCCACAGTCATTTATTAAAGAATTTTGTGGTGCATGTAAAACATGTGCTACACGTCGTTTATTTCCCAATGATCTTTCTGCCAAACCAATTGTGGCATCGAATTTTCTCTCCCGTGTTCAAGTTGATCTGGTTGGATTGACATTTCAGCCCGTTAATGAGTACAAATATATCTGTCATGTTTGTGACCATTTTACTCGGTTCTCTTGGGCCCGATGTCTCACAAGCAAGCGTGCCTATGAAGTAGCAATATTCCTATATGATATTTTTATAGTATTTGGGGCTCCTATCATTTTACAATCAGATAATGGTAAAGAATTTACCGCTGATCTTATTTCTGAACTAATGGCCCTTTGGCCAGGTGTACGTATTATTAATGGGCGCCCCAGGCACCCACAATCACAAGGAATGGTTGAAAGGGCCAATGGAATTCTGCAGGTTAAGCTCGGAAAATGGATGGAAGATAATCAAACAAGTAATTGGACTGAGGGATTACCATTAATTATACGTATGTATCAATACAGTAACTGCTAATATTAATGTTAATTTTTTTTATTATACGTATAATATAAAATAAATTTTTTTACTATATTTAGATGCAATGAACATTCAAACAAGTCGTGCAACAGGCAAATCACCATACTCTCTTGTATTTGGGCAAGAACCGGTTCAACATTTTTCAATACTTGAAGATCTATACCATAAAAATATTACGGATGAAGAAGAATTATCCGATAATTTTTTCAAAGATTCTGGTATGTACTGTAATTTAGTTAACATATTTTTTGAATATTCAAAAAAATCTAAAATTATTTTATTAGATCAATTTGAATCTTTATTACTAAATCAATCTGAATCTTCGCTATTATGTCAAGTTGAATCTTTATTACCAGAATCTCTATCATCACCACCACATCAAGCTGAATCTCTATCGTCATCGCCACATCAAGCTGAATCTTTATCACCATATCAAGCTAAATCTTCATCACCATATCAAATTGAATTATCTTCACAAAATCAAACTGAATTGCTATCACAAAATCAAACTGAATCATTATTGCAAAGTCATACTGAATTATCATCGCAAATTCAAACCAATTTACTATCACAAAATCAAACTGAATCACTATCGCCATGCCAAATCTTATCTCCATTGTCAAGCAATACTGAGTTTTCATCTGAATATGTTGAACTTTTATCAAGCCATTCTGAACCTTTGCCACTAACTAGTCTTGAAAACAATGTACGTACACATTATATAATCTTATTATAAATACATATTAGATATAATATTTTTTATTTAATGTATAGTTTAATATTCAAGAAGTATCATCATCAGATATTCAATCACACCACCAACTTTCTCGTAAATATGCAAATCAATCGCTTGCTACCTATCGGGATCGAATGAAAAATCAAATGCTAAAAAAAAATAAGCATCAACTCGAATATACTATTAATGAATATGTTTGTATTGCAATCCCAAGAATAGACCGCAACAACATTGACCGGCACACTTTACCCTGCAAAGTAATTGAAGAATTACCAAACAAGATATACCGTTTGCAATGTAAAAATGGAATCATTGATACAACTTTTAATGCAAATGAACTTATGCCATTGGGACCAACTAAATATGAAGAACTTGAAGTCTGCGAAAATAATGTAATTAGTGTTCGAGAGGCTGCAAGAATGCAATCAACTTCAACGGTAACAGGAGTATACTGTAGTTGTAAAAGCGAATGCAAAAATAATTATTGTAAATGTAGACGTTCTGGGATGCCATGTGGAAGTAGTTGTCATCCACATAATGCAAAATGTAAAAATAAAGGGTAATCCCTTGAATTAAATTACACTCAATAGTAAAATTATTTTTAGTAATTATTAATGTTTAATCGTTTAATTGTTATTATTTTTTATTAATAAATAATTTTTAATCGTTTAATTTTATTAATTATTTTTTATTAATTAATAAATAATTTTTAATCGTTAAGTTTTATAAATTCTATTTCCACTTAAGTCGATTTAAGATTCCAAAACAAATTAAGTGGATTCGGTATCTACTTAAGTGGATTCGGAATCTATAGAATTCCGAATCCACCTACAACATATATAT